ATGTGAAATATAAAAAGCAAGGCTAAGATATAATTTAGAAGATAGCTAATTTTTAGTTTGACTATATTTTTATATACCGTATTTTCCGGCGTATAAGACGACTGGGCATACAAGACGACCTCTGACTTTTCCTGTTAAAATATAGGGTTTGGGCTATACTCGCTGTATAAGACTATCCCTCTTCCAATGCACACCAAATAAAAATTAAAAAACATCAACTGGCTCACCCACAATGTAAAAGCAGCTGTGCTAGACCCAAAATGGCTCCTGCAACAAGCAGGAACCTCACGCAGCCACAAAAAGCCCAAAAAAAACCAACTTTCACACTTTACACACACACAACACAACACAACTGGCTCACCCACAATATAAAAGCAGCTGTGCTAGACCCAAAATGGCCCCTGCAACAAGCAGGAACCTCACACAGCCACAAAAAGCCCCAAAAACCAACTTTCACACTTTACACGCACAAAATTCCACATACAGCTTTGTGAGATTTTGTGTGTTGTGTAGTTAGAGTGAAACACTACAGAAACACACTAAATCTCAGAAAGCTGCACAAATATTATTTTAATTTTATTTTTATATGAAAGCTAAATTTAAAACTTCCTAAACTTTAAATGGCTAGGTCTAAAAAAGAACAACTAAAAAAAACCCCAATTAACTATTTTTTTAAAGCTCCCAAAGCGGAAAAAAACTTACCCAATAGAACAGGGGTCTCCAACCTTGGCAACTTTAAGACTTGTAGACTTCAATTCTCAGAATTCCTCAGCCAGCTTTGTTTTGCTGGCTGAGGAATTCTGGGAGTTGAAGTCCACAACTCCCTGCCTGCTTGATTGCAAGCAGGGAGTGGCTTGCTGATGGAATGGATTCAGGCAAGCGAAGCAAGGCAAGTGTTGCGACTAGCAGCTAAGGTAAGCAAGCTGGAGGGGGAAAACTTTTTTCCTTTTACATAGCTCTGGTGATCCAAGCTGAGTTGCCTGATTAGCAGGCAACTCAGCTGGGATCGTCAGAGCTTGGATCGCCAGAGCCATGTAAAAGAAAAAAAAGTTTTTTCCTTTTACATGGCTCTGGCGATTCCAGCTGAGTTGCCTGATTAGCAGGCAAAGCTGGGATTGTCAGAGCTTGGATCGTCAGAGCCATTTAAGGCTCGTCAGAGCCTTTCGGGCTGGTCTGCCTGGTTACAGGAGAATGACACCCGGCGTATAAGACGACCCCTGACTTTTGAGAAGATTTTCATGTGTTAAAAAATTGTCTTATATGCCGGAAAATACGGTACTAAAGTGAAAAACGATTGTACTGTAGCACTAAATATGAGCTCAGATCCTCTTCATCTTCCTCCCCCACTTCTTCCAATTAATGTTTTCCAATAAACTTTGTATTTTCTCTACCATTTCTTCAGTGCCCAAAGAGCATAATTTTATGTGGTGGTAGCATCAGCAAATAATATCTAAGCTTAGAAACATACATCTAACATAGAGACCTTAGGTTGCTTGAATGGAAAGAGTATCAACTACTAAGGAATATCAACACTGGGAAGCAAGAAGACATCCTGGAAGATGGCACAAGTGTATTGGTGTCATTACAAGTTAGTGAAGTCATGAGCAATTCAGTTTCACTTTGGGAGGCTTATTTTCTGATCAGCATCAAGATATAGTTACATTCTCTTTGTATGTATATATGATACATATATACTAGAACTGTTGTGCTACAGGAATATTAGCTTCTCTCTGGGTTGTTTATGTCTTAAGACCTTGAGTGAAATTAAACCATGTCTGTCTATTTCATTATAGCCTTGAATATTAAGGTTCACTGAGCGAGTGAATATATGGAAATTTGATAGCATTCTCTAGCAATATAGTTCTGTTACTGATTGTATAGAAAGAGATGCTATGTAAACTTAAACATAAATTTTAAATTACTTTCTCTTGCTCTGTAATGCTGTCTTTTACTAAATTTGTAAAAATTTTATTTACTAGAATAATAAAAGTAATTTGTTGAAATTTTAGATCTATAATTTAATTATAATAAAATCAGTTACGAGGTTCTTTTTGAAAACACAACCCATTTTTATTACCAGATGTTGTTAATGTATGTCTTAAGTGGTAATTACATTGTATTCAGTTTAAAGAATTTGAAAAAAAAACACGCTTCAAATTTGTATAGCCATCCATCTTACCAAAAGCTACTCGGGGCAGCGCACAACAATTAGTGTTCCCTCCTAAATACTTCACAATGACTTCCACCCCTTCACTTAAGCCTTACTTAATCTTCAGATCTATAAATCATTAATTCATTTTATTTCTTCTTTCAGCAAAAAATCAATATAAAGTTCTAGTCGTTCAAAAAAAAGTTTTTGTTCTCTGACCGATCAGGTCAGTTTCTCCATTTCTGCAAATTTTGACATAATTACAGTCCATTCCTGTACTGTGGGAATTTCATTATTCTAACATCATTGTACATCTTATTTAGGTAATCCAATGTTCCATTTTATAGACATTTTCTCTTAAATTATGACAACGTAAGTTACTATCAGTTTAGTAATAGCAATAGCAGTAGCACTTACATACCGCTCCATTGTACTTTACAGCACTCTCTGAATGATTTACAATGTCAGCATATTACCCCCAACAATCTGGGCCCTCACTTTACTGACCTCAGAAGGATGGAAGGTTGAGTCACAGGCTTGCACCAGTCAGGATAGAATCCTGGCTATGGGCAGAGTTAGCCTGCAATACTGCATTCTAACCACTGCACCACCACTTTTATCTACATTTTCTCTCAAGTACTCCTCTCTATGAAGTATGTTGCTTTATTTTAAATTTTATATTTGCCATTTCAGATACTTGGTGTTCAGTGGTGTTCTGGCATCCAGCCTCCTTGTATACAACTAAATTTAGATCCAGTTCATAATAACTTGTGAATATTGTGTATTTTCTTAATAGTATGATATTTAAAATAAGACATCTGGCAGATTTATGGGAGACATTTATCTTCTGAGAGGTCTCTATATGCAGAAGAAAAAGAATAGGATTGATTGCACACAGTCTAAAATTTCAAAGCGCTTCTAGATCATTTGCATGCCTAATTACTGTGCATTCAAAATTAAGTGAACTATAGCTGCTTGGAACTGGAAAATGAAAAGCAATCTTTTATGGAGAAAATATCACATTTGCATGTTTGCCTTTCTATATTTTAGAATTAGAGTTTTTTCCGCTTGTGCAATAATAGTGTCTAAAAATAAGCTTCTGTATTCAATGAGTGAATGGGGTCCTGAAACATCAGCTTTGCTTTGATGTAGCACAGCAAAGTGATGCTGAGAAAAACTTAGCAGTGATGTGCATTTTGGTGATAAAGGACTATGTCAGAATAGTAATTAATTACCTGCTTTGCTTGATATGGAAAACAGTGGTCCATACTCACCTTCCTAATCCTCAGGAGTATTCTGTTCAAATGTTTCTATCAGTGAAGGATATCAATACACATTTGAGTTTGCTTAGATTTTACTTCTTGATATTTTGCCTAAAGTATGTGGGAAAGTAGTGAAAAGAACAGTTTACATATGTATATAAGGAAATCGGCTAACTTAATTGAAGAACAGCTCAGTAATTATGTTATTAACTTACAAGGTTTTGCTGTACAGGTAGTCCTTGAGTTACGAATATAATGGAGCCTGCCCATTCCATTCATAACCCAAGGATTAGTGGGAGTGAATCTCGTACCTTGAATGAGATTCACTTCCTCCTTTTGCCCACACATTCACTAATCAAATGCAATGCTCGTTAAGTGCACATGAAGTATTTCAGGGTGGGAAAGGCCATGGGGGGGGAGGGCTACTGATGGAGCAGGCCACCTGCCTAAGACCGCCCAAGACGTCCCCGGCCCACTGAAATACCTCATGCTCCCCAAATTGCTTTTCCCTCTGCAACCTGGGTAACTTACCTTGTGAAGATCTAGAAAGCAGTCTCCTCTCCAGCTTTGTGCACCCCTCCAAAGCTCCATCAGATAATCTTTATAGTAGTCATATAAGGCAGGCTAATGTTTTTCTATATGTAGGCATGCTTTTGTGATAAAGTGGCACACTACTAGATAAGTATCTGTTAAAGGGAAATATAATTATAATGAACTCAGTTGAGTATAGCAAGAATGGGCTATTGAAATGAGCAGGATGTATTAGTGCGTTCGGAAGATGCTGAGGTTTGCAAAAAAAAAAAAAAAAGAGGCCTAAGATGATTGTCATTTTTTCCCTGCCCCCAAATGAAGTTTTCACCCAAAGAGGGTGAAAATTTAGGTGCGTTTTATACACTGAATGTAGCCCTGTCCACCCACTGGCCCCTATCTTTTGGCCTCTGCCTCGCAGCAGTTACTTCCTTGCAAGCAAACAGCAAGAAAAAACAGCTCCTTTCAGCTTCAGCACAGGCTAATTAGCACAAGTTGATTGGATCGGTCTCTGACTCTTAGCTGATTTGCTCTCAGCTGTTTTGCGCAGGGCTCTGCTGCTTGCTGCAAAGAGGTAAATTGCTGGAGCAGGTTTTTTTTTCATTGTGCTAATCAAGCTATGCTGAAAACGAAAATGAAAGTAAAGCAGACTGTTTGCTGCAACGAAGCAAAATTGCTCAAAGGCAGAGAAGGAAGGTTTCTTTTTCTTCTTTTCCTCACCAAAAAAGGTAGGTGTGTCTTATACTCCGATGCGTCTTATACTCTGAAAAATACGGTATGTCATGATAGCAGTACAAAGTGAGAAAATCCTTAGATCTCAAATTATTCTTTTGTCTTTCTTACTCAGTTAAATCTCTAAAAAGTTTTATGTTGAATTCTCCCTATTAGCAATAGAAAGTGCTTTTTGGCCATTTGATGATAATTATTAGGGTTTTCAGAAATACAAAATGCACAATGAAGCATATAAGCACACACACTCATATATGGTTCTAATATTGTCCAGTAATCTGACTTTTTGCAATTAAGGTTAACCAATTAAATATGATCTTTCATTTTTCTAGGAAGAACAAAACAGAGGCAAGCCCAATTGGGAACATCTGAATGAAGATTTGCATGTATTAATCACTGTGGAAGATGCTCAAAATAGAGCAGAAATCAAATTGAAGAGGGCTGTGGAGGAAGTAAAAAAATTATTAGTACCTGCAGTAAGTAATATTATTGACATATTGATGTTTGATATGTGTTCCTTAAGGTTATATTATCTTCCATGTGGAATTACATTGTATATAGTGAAAGAAAATACGTTCAAGTAAAGTATTTTTCATCTAAAGCATTGTTGGTATATGATGCACTGTAATGTAAAAATAAGATTGAATGTAGGATATCAATTTCTTTTTCAAAAGCAACTTTCTCTGATTTGAAAAGAGTAATATATAACTAGTGCATACTTAGAAGATATATAAATAGATTTATAGGAGAAATAGGAATATTTCAGATAATTTTTACTATTGTCTGGAGAGCAGTATGAGGCAATAATTCATTTAAATAAAGCATCCCATCTTTGTAGTAAGTGACTTTTAAAATTATAAGACTCAGTTAACTTGTGGAATTTTCAGAAACAGTTTATAATAAGCATGGCATGACTCTTGTACACTCTGTAGTAGTAACTCTGCAATCTATCTATTCTATTCAAGTGGGTAGAAAGAGGGTGCATGAGATCTCACGAGGTTATACAGTACTATTGACTGTCGCCATAATTTTGAGATTTGATTTCATAATACACTGAGGCAGCATTTTTCTTGTTATAAAATTGTTCTGCTGAACATAGATATCTATCAGAGAAATGTATCAAAGAAATCAGTGTATTAGCTGTAGTTCATTTACTATATAAGATCATAGCTTTTTATATCATTTATGTTTCATAAAAGACCATTTTGGAGATGGGATATTTCATTCCAAGTATGTGCATGAACAGGATGTTTGGTTATATAAATTTTATATGTATTTATAAAGAAAGAAACATGCAAAGAAAGAAAACTAATGTAAAAATACAAATACAAAAATACAAACACAAATTCTGTTTATTTAATATAGAAGGAATACAGAAAGAAAAGTTTCTTAGAAACCTATATAAAGTTGGAATATTTTTCATACAAACTCAGAGGGATTTTTTCTAAAATTATATGTTGTATCTTAATAGTTGTTATTAACTATAATAAAATTATCAGGAAGATATAAATATATCTTTGTTATACCTCTGAATTAAATTAAATTCTGATGAATGCTAGTAGAATGATACAACTCTATTTAAAATCAGTTCTGAATAGTCTTGCTTGGTTTCAGTCATTGAGAACAATTGAAACTGCATGTAAAGATGCAATTTTAGTAAAAATCGAAAGCCAATGGCCGAAGAGACCCTAAATTCCAATCTTCCCTTAGTCATGAAAACTAGCTAGGTGACTTTTAGACAGCTATACTGTCTCAATCCTACCCATCTTAAATAGTGCTTGTTATGGAGAAAATGGAGGAATATGAAGTATCAGTGGCAGGTTTCTACTGGTTCGCTCTGGTTTGGGCAAACCGGTAGTGGCGGTGGCAGGAGGCTCCACCCACCTGCCCGGATGTCATCACGGACACTCTGCACATGCGCAGAAGGTTCTGCGCATGCACAGAAGCGCCACAAGTGAAGTGAGCGCACACACACACACGCTCCCAATTCCTAACCGGTAGCGAAGGTAAGTGGAACCCACTACTGTGAATTATGTATTCCATCTTATGTGGGCCAAAAATAAAAGGATAAAAATCAAAGAAATATTAAAAGAAACTTCATTCTTATCAGGGAAATAAAAGTATAGAATAGTTTGTTTCCTTAAAACAAAAATCTAAAAATTTCATTAATTTAAATTTTGCTAATGTAGCTAATCAATCAGTTCTTCAGCAATCAACTAATTTGTTCCATTTTTGGTCTTAATTAGAAAATGTTTGCTTTGACATAGTACACATGTAACTAAACTGATCTCAGTTGTAGATATATTAAGCTTAAAGTGTAATTGTGCTGATGTAATTCTTCAAATCTAGAGACTGAACAATTAGCTGTGTTAAACTTTTAATTAATGTGTGTCATCAGAGTTGATTTTAGTTGGTTTGGATAAAGATATAAAGATGAAGTGTGCAAAAAGTATTTTTGAAGTCTAATTGTAGATAAATTTGCCAATATTTTAAATATGGATCATTGTTTATTATTGATCCATAATTCGAGTTTTGCACTCTGTATCCTTTTATCCAAAATATGCTTTATGTACATGTTGCAGTTATTTTTTTCTTTTTTTTGCAATTTTTACTTGGAGGGAAACAGGGTTTTATTTGAGTGCCTCTATCTAAATGTTCTTGACTTCACAGACAATCTTAGAAAAAATGACTATCATGTTAGTTGTTTAAAATGCTACCACACTAAAGGCTATGATCCTTAAACTGCAACCATCAAGTTATATTTAGAAATCTATTTTTCACTCAGATCCTAGTTTGTATTGATTCTACCAAATTTTCTTTGTAAATGTTGAGGTGTAAACTTTTTAGTTTGATTCAGGAAATATTATCCTTGGTAGGCATACTGTAGGATAAATTGATATTAGCATCTGTAATACACATAGCTTGTTGAACAAGATATATTTAGGTTGGCACAACATTAAGTTGTAGGCCACTAGTTTGCCAACTGCATTGGATTTTTCACTCAGATTCATAAATTGCACTGAGCTAAAAGGAAAGTATGGCTTATTTGAGCTCAAGTACTGATTATAGTAGCATGAAAAAAGTGAACTATTGTATCTAATTCCAGTGCCAAGGAGCCATTTGTGTAACAAATGAAACCTACAGCAAAATGTTGAATGTATCTTTATCTACTTGCAGAATTATGTTCAGGATTCTGCCAGCCAACCAGTTTATTGTAAATTATGTAAACAGTTGACTTCATTCTTTACCTCTCAGTTGATATTTTCTTTCTTTTTTCCAAGTATAACTAAACATTGTGTGGTTCTGGAAACTATTAAATATACTCAATCTGTTAGACTTCTTTGATGTGGTATAGTGTCCTTTTGGATATAAAACATTTTACGATTCTGCTTGCTTCGGTGTTTGTCCAAGTATGTTTGTTCTGTCCTCTTCTTTCTCTAGTTTTGTTCTGATTCCATATTTGATATCACCAAATCATGTGAGTTTGCAATTAGAGGGAATAATAAGTATCAATATATGATAAGTATCAATACATATTGTTTTGGAAGTTCAACAACTAATTGCTTATGCTGTGTTCAAATGGAAAGTACCGTATTTTTCGGAGTATAAGACGCACTGGAGTATAAGACACACTGTTGTATAAGACGCAGCTTAGTTTTTGGAGAGGAAAATAGGGGGGGAAATCTGCCTAACAAGTATTCATCTCGCTAGCGTCCTTAGTCTGGTCAGCTTCAGCACATTAGTTTGCTGGGTTTTAGCGTGTGCACACGTTTTTTATCCCCTGCTTGGGGATAAAAAACAGCTTCTAAAGCACAGCTGAGAGAGAGCAGCAATGAGAAAAGCAAGCAAAGCACAGAGATCGCTTCACTCGCTAGTGCTTCATTAGGGTTGAAAAAAAGCTTCTAAAGCACAGCTGAGAGTCGGAGGGAGTAGGTAAAGCTCGGAAGATCGTTTCACTTGCTAGCACCTCGTTAGGGCTGAAAAAAAGCTTCCAAAAAGCTACATTTGAACTATAAGATACACCCAAATTTTCAGCGTCTTTTAGGGGAGGAAAAGTATGTCTTACACTCTGAAAAATACGGTAGTTTATACATTTTGAAGGGATCGTTCTACATTATTTTTTTCCAGAGACAATCACGTTTATAACTTTCTGTAAAGATAATAGTCATTCTCCAAGGGAATTCATTAATTTTGCGACATTAATTCATTTAATCAGGTAAAGTGGTAAAGGGATCAGAAGGCTAGATGGTGATTGGTAAACAGAAATTGAAATTTCGTAAAATGAAGTGATAAAGTGAATGGTTCCAGATTTGGGAGTTGGTAGAATTGAATGTTCTGAATGAAAGTGTACTTCAGGGAACAGGATTGTAGTTTGTTGATAGTCCAGTTTTATTTCTGTACCCATAGCAATTGACTTTCTTCAGTTCTGGTCATTTGTCTGTTATGCCCTTCCTTAAATAAATATAGCCTGGCCACAATGGCCATGCTATAATGTCTTAGGCCTGTGATGGCAAACCTATGGTATGCGTGCCATGGGTGATATACAGAGCCCTCTCTGCGAGCATGCGAATCATCGCCCAGCTCAGCTCCATCCCGCATGTGTGCGCGCCTCCCGCCACCCATCTGTTTTCAGGTCTCTACCACGTATGTGCAGGGGCAGGGCACATACTGGAGACGCACAGGCATGCCCGGTTGGGCGGTGGAGGGTTGCACATGCATGCGGGGGAGTGGAGGGTCATGTGCGCATGCGTAGGGGGTGGGGGAGCATGGGGCGCAGTGCAGCCTCCCATGCCCATTTTGGGCCTAGCAGGCCTCCTTGCAGCCTCCTGGGACCAAAAATTGGCTGTGGGGAGGGAATTGCGCGCGTAGGCGCGGGGTGGTGGTGTCGCACATTCATTGCATTATGGGTGCAGGCATGCTGAAAAACGCATTGATGAGCACTTTTAACCCTCACTTCCACTTTTTGTGCTGTCACCATTTTTCTAGCTATTAAATAACTGATTGGTGCACCAGATATTTCTTTATGAGCTCATAATGATGCTTAACTTATCAATATGGGTCTTTCCCCTCTAGAAGTTTTGCCGGTTTGATTTAGAACTTTGAAATCCCTTGACTTAACTGCTTAGAAAGCTCCATAAACATATAGAAAGTTCAGTTCTTATCTGTATGGGTTTTTATATATATATATATTATACACCCTTCAGTATTGTTAAGATTAAAAGTGCATAAATTGTAGTAATTATAACAATGGATCAAGTTAAAGAAAACTTTAATAAACTTTAATAAACTTTAATAAAAAACTTCTTTATTGATGAGAGAATAAAATAAAAGCATGACTCTTTCACATTTGAATTGAATACGGCTTCTTTTTTCACCATTAGATTTCTCCCAAAGCATGAATTGCAAAGTACAGGTGAAATGTTATTCTATTTTTATTTTTCCACTGTATTTGAAAATTAGTTTGATTTTATGTTCT